GTCAAACTTTGACAGGTATGGAACGGCTCAACGTCAAAGAGTATATTTCTACTAGCTGTGCCCGCGACCGATCGACCAATTCGAACCACTAGTTCCTCAGATTACCGCTTTCAAACAAACTTTTAACTTTATAATATTAGTATAGATGACTTACTGCGTTTAAAGCAGACCGCAGCCTTATTGCGTGCATAAGCGACTTGATCGCAAGCAATCAACCTGTGGCATTTTGATTATTTTTTACCAAAAAGCTTTCTTCTCGTCTCGATGTTACGAAAAACATTGTTCTGAGTTAAACGCACGCAATAAGGTTTTATTAGGTAACCTAGGGACTAATTTATGGAGAGGTTTCAATATCGTATCGATTTAACGAAGTTATTTAAGCGATCGGCTCAAGATAATATTAGCATAAAATTCAAGTAAATTACCAGTTAGGCTGTATATAATGATAGTGTATATATGCTGGTGATAGGGTATTGTATAACTCAGGTCATTAAGGGTCTGAATTGGAAATCGAAGAGCTTTGAGTCAAATGAAAGCGTATTGGGCAACCTTTTATCATGAGTATATTTTACACTAGCGACCCGCCCCGGCCTCGCTCGGGTGCAATGCTGATAGTGCAAACACTACGGAAAACTGTGAACGTTGTTTATAAAAACCTTCCTCTATCTACTAAAAACCGCATCAAAATCTGTTGCGTAGTTTTAATCGACAGGCTCGTTCGCAAGGTAGCAATGTTATGTATGGCTATTAGTCAACGGGTCGTGCTAATCCCCATCGGGTCCCCCCGGGTTTCCACTTCGTCTTGGAATATGGATATTAAATTGATCCAAAAAACGAGCCATGTACCATTATCCACATTTTCAACTGTGTCGTGTCGAATAATCGCGTTTAGGTTTCAGTCTGCGGCTTTTCGAATATTCAAAGCCGAAATAGGCCGACAGCGCATCTTGTTTAGATGTTATATGGTAATTTTTTTTTATTCTATTTAACTTCGTCCCCCAGTGACCACGGCTACTTCAATCGCTTTGGCCCTTAGAAAAAAAATTAGAACGAATATATTTCACCTTTTCAACCGTTAAAAAGTATTTTATTTAAGCCAGATCTTATCTCAGAGCTTGTGGGTCGTTAACTCAAACCTCTAAGCGAACAAGGCTCAAATGTGTTATACTAATTATAAGTACAGGCCTTGTCTTAGACTTTGTCGTGACAAAAGCAGGAATGTACGCAAAGTTCGGTGGCGACGCGGTTGGTGCTCTAAACGCCGGGTCAAACATTCTAATGCATGACGCAATGCTCAACCAACTGGATTTGCACTGATGTTGTATGTTAATCGACTTTTGAACAACTCCCCTTTTACCTGTCCATTTCTATAGCGTTATACATTCCGTAAAAGTCACAGGGTAGAGTATGGTAGGTTATAGTAGGGTAGGGTAGTCCGGGTAGCAGACAGTTTAAGTTTATGTAATGTATGTTTAACAAAAACTCTTGAAAAAGGTTATTATAACGTAAATCAATCAGATGTACCCATAAAGTGTAGAAAAACATGACATTAAAAGGAGTGGCGGCGAGTTTCTCGCTAGTTCTTCTCGTACGTTCTACGCCATTGATTCGGGAAGTGGTAGTATTTGTAAAATTTAGAGATTTTAACATTTTTGCTACCTACATGAATAAATTATTTTTGATAGTAGACTACATTTTTTGTCCGCCAATTTTAAAAATGTTGATAAACAATAGGTCTTACGAATTTAAGGCGAATGCCAGCTTTTAATGTAGATATAGGTTTTCCTGAGATTCGAACCTAAGATCGGCTCTACAAAAAGTCTTGGTTTTTTAACTCTAAGCAAAGCACAAAGTTTTTATCCAATGTAAAATGTTTACGTGCTAATCTTCATTAAGTGACCAGGATCTGAACTTGTGACCTCTCTTAACGCAAAGCAACAGTATAAAATTGAGCCACGCAATATTTCCCCTTCATTTATCGTGCAAGTGACGTTCTACAACAATGGAAGGCTCTATGCAAAAATGGTCGGCCTTTTTCTCTAAATTAGAATTCTAATTATTACCAAGTACAAGGTCATATGCCTGTTTTCTTTAGTCTCTGTCATGGAAACGAATTTTTTATGTAAGTAAAACAATATTAGGTTTTTACACTGTTTTTTTATAGAGGAGGATAGACAAGCATGGGGTCTAGCATCTAAACTAGATGTGCTCTCGACCTATTTCGTCTTTGGATATTCGGAAAACCACAAATTGAAACCTGATGTGTATTGTAACGTGATTAAACTTCACGGCTTATCATCTGCCGATGGTGGTTCATGACGCGGACGGAAATTTCGATATTCCCACCTCCCCATTCAATATCCAGATTTCCAGACGAAGTCCAATATTTTCAGAAAGACTATAAATTAATGAGAAACATTTTGGACCTGATGGGAACCCACCAGGAAAAAGCTAAGTAATCAAAAACCAATTGATCCAGTAATAGTAATCGAACAAAATACGATAGTGCAATGCTAGTCTGTCCCAGTTAATTCAGAAATCTCGAACAAAAGTTAATCGTTCGATATATGACTGTAAATATAACAAAACTTTGAATAAAACACTTTTAACGGTTTTAAATGCGATATATATTAGCTTTTTTACTAATTCCCGACGTTTCGGATGCCTTGCCGCAGTCGTGGTCACGTGGGGACGTAGATAAATTGAATACGAAATAAAATAATTATACGAATATATCACGCGTTTTAAACGGTTTAAAAAGTTTTAATTAAATGTGTTCTAGTGGCGTGACTAACAATAAAAATCTAATAATAAGTTTAATTTAAATACTGTCTATAGTTTACGCGAGTAGTACACATTTAAATAAAACACTTTAACGGTTTAAAACGCGATATATTAGTTAAACTTATTTGAAAATGATTTCCCCGATGATGTCTCCCCGTGACCACGGCTGCTGCAAAGCATTCGAAACGTCGGGCCGAAGTTAAAAATCATTTTCAAATAAGTTTAACTAATATATCGCGTTTTAAACCGTTAAAGTGTTTTGTTTAAAAGTTTAATGTATTAAAAATTATGCTTAAAATTCTTGACTATAAATTTTGAAAATAATCATTTTTATTTACCTATTTCTCGTGTTATTGGTTCGATGAAGCCTGCTACCCCTATCAGAATAGGTTTAAATAACCGACGATAAATGTCAATCAATAATGATTCATTACATTATGAGCATTTGAATGATCCACGAGATGTTGCGCTTGCGCCATCAAGCGGGCAGACTGCTTGGCGCGTCACTTTTTTCACATAAACCCATTTTTTGTCGAAACCCCGATCCACGAACGCGTAGGCGTCTGCTCGGCGGAAACTGTTGACTTTCTTTTTTATGGCCTCTCAAAACGCAATAAATTTGATGAGAGTACATGTCAGACTTCTAATAAGTTAAGAATTTATAATTTAAAAAGTCGGTCATTGATATTATGTTTCGAAACACCTAGACATCTTTTTGTTTAAACAATACACATTGTATTTATACCAAAATTACCTTTTTACGTTAGTTACATTCTCTAGGGAGATAATACATATTTCAAATACTTTAATACAACTTGAATTGAAGTTATTACTAAGTAGTTTTTGCGAGTAGCACACATTTACATACTACACTTTAAACGGTTTGAAACGCGACGTATATTAGAAGAGTTTTCTAATTTAAATTAATTACACCCCACCGTGACCGCGACTGCTGCAAAGCATCCGAAATCACGAGCCGTAGTGTAATGTAATTAAAAATAAGTTTATTATAACAATGTAATATTTACAACAATTATTTTTCGCATTTTAGACCGTTACAAGTGTTTTATTTAAACTGGGACAATCTATTAGGATATTATGTCCATCGCACTGAACTTTAAAATTATTTACGACAATTACCTAATATGTTTCGCATTGTAAACCGTAAAAAGTATTTAGTTAAAATATGACATTACTTTTAAATAAAACACGTTAACTGTTTAAAACGATATATTAGTTAAACTTATTTGGAAATGATTTTTAACTTCGGCCCGGCCAGTCTCCCCGTGACCACGGCTGCTGCAAAGCATCAAAAACGTCGGAAATGAGATAAGTTAATTTTTATATTGAAAATATCTACACTGAAGTATAGAAGTATTTAAGATTTATATTGTACTGTATCACATTGCCTACGTACGACCAAAACATATAAATGAACGATCAATTAAGCTACCTATTATATAACTCACATATAATTTTAAGACGAACCATCAAACCATTAGAATTGACTAATAATCAAGTATGTTATCTAATCGATTATTATGAAAAAAAAAACAATAAAAATCGAATACCACTTTGCATATTTGCTGGATCAGAATCGGTATATTTTCGGAGGTGAGTCATATGGTGAATTACGTAATAACTAATTCAAGTTTAATTTAATAACATGCGACTAGATACTATATGACTTATATGTGTAACATATAACACAATAATAGGATTATCGATAGTTTAACATATATATTGTTAATTTATTTAAAGGTCGTAACCTCAGTTTTCGAAGTAAAAAAGGAGTTTTGTATAATACATCGATTTTCATTCTGTTTATTTTTGAAGTCATCAAACTTTCGAAAACTCGAATACCTACTGTGTACATGTTATCGCTATATCGATTAAAAATCGATTATAAATTTTAAAAAATCGACTTGGGCAGGACTTGAACCGGCATCGTGAGTGACTCGGTAGCTCAATTGGTTAGAGGAACAGCACGGATCGCTGACGATGCCACTTCGTTTTCTCTTTGCAAAATAAAGTAGTTAATAAATTGACTGTAAAAAACCTATGCAGTTGTGTCTGTGATATCACGAAAAAATTTAATAACATAGAACTCAACTGAAGACTAGTTTTTATTTATAAATAAATCGTGTAAGTCACATTTCATTTTCCACATACACTTTTTGTCACACTTAAAAAAATCATAATAGATGTTCGTACCATTAGACTATGTTCGTACTGTTCCTTACATTGGATTGTCTTTGTCTCGAAAGAATACCGGCTTGCAAGTGATACTGCCGGTACATATACTCTTTTGTCATCGCTTGCGCAGAAAACATTGCCCTACTACGTTGCAACACTTCGTTCCTTGGCCCCCAACTAGGATCTAACTGAAACATCTTCGACATCTGTTTTGTGCAAGCAGCGTAAAGACATTTGACAACAAATATCGCTATCAACACACCAATTACTGCCAACGTTACATAGGATCCGTAAATAAACTGTGTCGTAGTCTTCAAGTGGTGGTTTAATTCAACAAAGAAGGAGTATAAGAGTACGACACTCGAAAACAACCAGGTTACTTTCATAAACATTTTTGGTTGGACACCCAACATGAAGTGAACGTCTTCAGAAAACCTTTGGACGCCATACCAAGTGAGAAACACCACACATTCAATCATACTAATGAAAGTCATAAAGGTGACTACATGCCGCCTGAAGCTTACTGTCATTATATTAATTCCGTAGTAATTAAACAGAGGAATTGTTATTAGGAATAAGAGGATGCAGCCACAGAAGCAAGTCAATCCCGGATATTTGGCGACTTTCATACTTCTTGTTGAGGCAACGTCTAATAAATTGTAGAAGATGATAACATTAGTGCAGGTACCTAGAACAGAGTAACAGCTATACGTAAGGATTAAATAGAAGGACTTCCTTTCGTATTGGTTAAATAATCTTGGTACTTTCTCGAAGAGGAACGAAATTCGCGTCTTCATAATCATCTCCGGCTTTTCGTCGAATTCTAATGCGTACGGGCAGGTCATCATCGCCGTTGTGATTACAGTGAGAATGGAAAAGAGTGTGCAAATAATTACGCTGATTACAGTGTTCGATAGGCACGGAGTTCTGAACGACGAGTTGGCTGATAAGTTGAAGGTTACACCCGACCCGATCCCCAAATTAAACCCAACACGATGTATAATACTTGATATGCGAAATTTCTTCGAAAAGTCTTTAAATTCGAAATCCAATGCTTCTGTGAATTTTAAAACAATCCCCTTTTGTAATAACGAGCCTGTGAGCAACACACAGTATGCGATTATAGGAAACGGTCCCAGGATGTAAGTGGCCCATTTCAGCGACTTTTCCCTTTTGAAACAGCTCACATAAACTATGACACAAATAGCCGCTGAGCCGAGGGTGACCTTCCAAGCGATGTCAAGCTTTCTGTCTAACTTAACTAAGTTGTATCTCCAATATTGGTATTCGGGAAAAGTTGAATATAGACCTTCGCAATACGCTGCGCCCTTCTGTTTTCGTACACAGTTTTTGTTGACAGTGAAGTTAGTGAGAATTATATTACACAGTTCGTTCGTCCATGGGCCGCAAGTATGGTAGGGTAGGAGGGATTCAAAACTTATCAGAAAGTAGTGCATGAGGAAGGACGTAACAGTATGATTGTAGATGAGTACCACCACTTGCCACGCTATCAGGAAGTAACCCACGTGGGATGTGCAAGGGCTGATCTTCCAAACATCAATGCAATCTCTGCCGGTGAACTGACTGATAACTGTCTCCATATATAAAAGTGGTATTCCGAGGATTACGTACGTAAGTGTGAAAAATATTATACATCCGAGGACGCCTTCGGAAAATGCCACATTTGGGATGGTCGCTATATTTGTGATTCCTATGCATTGGCATAAAATAATAATTACGGTCAATCGTCTAGAATTCTCTTCTTGTTCCATAGCAATGATTCGCGAAAATTTTGTTTCAATGACAGTCGTGGTCGTCGCGATTTTACAAACACAAGTGCCATCGTTTTACAATGATTCTGAATCGATTATCATACACGTTTCTATTGCAACCTCAAAGTAATGAATACAATTATTATAAAGCTGAAGAGTTCGTGTGTTTAAACGTGATCTCAAGACAGGTTCGAATCCTTCTTGTGTTGGATAGAATATTTATCGAGGAAGGCTTAAGGCTAAATAACACCACGTTTCGTCCAATAGGCGAAGAAACTGGTAAATATCATAAAAGCGTAGGAAAATATTCATCTTCGAGGGTTTTATTTGCGTCCGCTGTTTTGTGTCCTCTTTTTTTATCGAAAACAAATTACATTAACTCAATTACACTTAAATTTAGTAAACATTATTACCAATTATTTGTTAGAGTTGTATCAACATTATATCCATCTTGCAAACAAGGAAATAACGTTTGCCGGATCAGCTAGTGTTAATTAAAAAAGCTAAACTTAAAAAAAACATCGTCAGGTGCCCAAATCCTAATATCTACGAAAATATGCATCTTTTATTTACTTTAAAATATTTTTATCTTTTAACACTATCTAATCAATGTTTCTGCAACATACCTAACGATAAGCGTGAAAAATATGCTAGCTAGGTATTTTGCGAACCTTACCTTTATTTGCTAACCCATTTTAAATTCGGTTTAATTATTTTTAACAGTGCTACGACGCTTAACCGGTGATCGAGAACTATTGATTTATGATAAGACTTAATATGTAGCACTGTATTATCATAAGTGATTGCTTTAGTTAAGAAAATAAAGCGTAAAATGTCGCGTTATTTTAAATTGTTTAGTATGAAGAAATTAAAATGTATGTCAAAAGGGGCGGTATTCGCAACACTATACGTTTCGACTCTATCAATTGCACTAATAATGCCCGGAATGTCTTTTTTAAATTTGTAAGTGCAAATCTAGCTAGCTTTCTGTTTGTTTAACGAACCAAAGCTCAAATACTGTCTATAGTTTACGCGAGTAGTACACAAACGCGATATATACGCATCCGAAACGTCGGGCCGAGAAAAATCATTTTCAAATAAGTTTAACTAATTAATCGCGTTCTAAACCGTTAAAGTATTTTATTTAAATGAACTAAAGCTCACAATGCGGACAATTGCTTCACTCGGAGAGATAACTAATTTCGAGTTTCTTGCCAGTTCTTCTCGTTCGTTCTACGCAATAGATTTGCTACGGTAGTAAATGTAAATATAGAGTCTTTAGTTTTTAACTAATGTGACGTTCATAAGTGTACCTAGTGGACTTCGTGAATAAATGAGTTTTTACTTTCAAAATGATTCCTCTTCATATGCCCAGAGATGCACTATAGACTATATAAGCGATCTGTAGTCGATAGAGATAACGTAATGAAGATAAACGCAAATTTAGGCCCAGTGGTGATATCATCAATTTTGTGAATGCAACGCTTATCACTTTATCGTAATGTGAGTACGTCTACAACTGATTTGTACGTTACTGGCATATACAAATGTATGTCATATTTTTCCCACTGTTCATATCTTTCCAGGAAATTTAACTATGAACACGGATTACTCATAATGTTTGAGAATATTCTGGCACGTTCAGAGATTTAAGATAGTATTATATCTACTCCTGAAAGTTTGTTATATTATATTTCATATTTCTACAAAAACCGTTATCGATTATTTAATTATTATTGACTTAATTTTTTTAAAGAATGTCGTAATTAAAACATGGTGCGTATCTGGTCACGGACTTTTCCTTCCACTTGGCACATTCCAAAGACCGATCGTTTCAGGTTGTCCTTCGTTCTCCATCTTGATATTTACCATGTGTTAGAGAATCTTGTATGGACTTCATGGGTAAAAATGGAGGTGATGGTTAAGACTACAATCCAAGGAATCCAGAGCATTTTTATTCAGTACCACATCCCGAATGCGTCTATATCGATTTTTGATTAAAAACATTTTATAACACGGGCGGCATCCGCGTTCTGTGCTGTTGCTCCAACCGAGCCAATTGCCAATTGAGCTACCGTGTAACGCTGTATATGCCGGTTCAAGTCGCGCCCGTATCGTAATTTTTATTTATACAAATTCTTATTACAGTTTCCAAAACTATAAGTACTTACATACTTTTTATATTTTTACGTAATAAATAAAAGCTTGCAGTCGCAAGGAACTTGTTCCTTAATATTGATTGAATTTGTTATGTGTAAACTGATTTATATTAAATTTAAACCGTTTCAGCTTAAAACCTTAACTCATTTCATTTTTTACCGTGGCATACTAATATTTGTGTTTCATATACTCCTTATAAGTAAAGTCGCTTTCTTATCACATAGAGTATCTTGGACAAACACCGCGATGCAGACAAGCCGAGCTATTGATTTTGACTGATTACGTAGAAATTGTTAGTATGAAGTATGTTGAATATTCAAATGTATGACTGCTAAATGTGGAATTTACCCACCTTTTTGTTGTATGCATGTGTTAAGGAGCTAAGAAAAAGTTCAGATTATATAGGTATGTAAGAAATTATATAGAGTTTTAAATCAACGCTGAAAAAACAATGACAAACGCATCAACAAAAATTTCGAAATATTTTAGTTTCTTTTTTCAAAATTTGTGTTCGAATTTCGAATGCCTGAAAATCAAAAGTTCCCTCCGATTATAAAGCTGAAGCGTTTGTTTGTTTGAACGCAGTAATCTCACGAACTACTGAATCGAATTGAAAAATTCATTTTGTATTGGAAATGTGGAAAAAACGGGAGACCTTTTCATATTTGACGGTTTCCGTTGCGTGCGTTGCGAAAACGGTTCAAGATGTCCAGCACGGTATATTTCTACCTCTTAAGATTAACTTGCAAGAATGACGTAGCGCGACAAACGTGGCTAACACTTAACGGCTATGATTCCTCAAGATGATGAGGTTTGCATAAACAAATTTTGGCGTTAAAATAGTCTACGCGGACGAAGCCGCTGGCATAGCCAGTCTTGGATAATTAAGCCACTTCGCATCCTACGACAAGTAGGTATAAATGGATGGTACTTGGCGACGTGTAGTCTCGTATGCAGCGACGTAAAACGATTTGTTGATTAGTTTTTTATATCATCACAACAATCATGGACAGCGTAAATGTGTTATTCATTTATTAACCAGTATTAACTAACTGATATTAATGAATTGCGAGAGGCGAAATAACGATAATCCAAACAGAATATCGAAATCGTGACTTGAATCGCGTTGGGGTGAAATGGGCTTTAATCCAAGTGGTTAGAGTTTAATTTAAGTTAAGCCGCTAGACATAGCTAGCATTTTGCTATCGATATTTCTGTCCCGCTCTAACGCTGGAGGCGTGATTCGCCATTTCAAATGGAATTGCACAGCGCAGCCAGGTGAAATATAGCCGTCTCAGTCTATCTTCTGGCGACCCTTGACCTCGTGGATCGATTTTAGTGAATGTGACCAGCTCGCTATCTATTAATTATGTGGAGTAGCAACATCCTAATGGCACAAGTCGGTGACCATTGCTTGGCTGATGATTTTCCGATGACGCAACTTATATTTTTACTTTTCGCTCAGTTTCAAACAATGGCTTAAGTTTTATACGCCGATAAATTTGTGTTATATAACAGACATATGTGGTGATAAGCTTTGAAGTAAAAGAATCCTCACTAGACTTTAAAAGCCTAAACGGTATTGTCTGTAGTTGAGGCTTACTCTTTTAACGGTTTAAAACGCGAAATATATAGATAAAATTATTTTAAGTTACATTTGCTATATTTACGCACGATATCATAATGTCGTTGCGACAACCGTCAATGAAGCTAGGATAGTGATAATGTTTTTATCAAACCCCATTTGTGCTAAGGCTTTCGAACGCGTTTCGAAAACTTAATTTTTTTTTAAAAAACACGTCCATTATTAACCATTCATTGCTAACATTAAACCACCAACTCCGTCAACATTTAGAAGGATTCGAGAAGGAATCCAACAGTTTTCATTGTACCATCACTTAATACAGGTAGTCAACTTTTAACGCCCCATAACAATGACATACGATTATTGCGCATCGTTGAAACTGAGCGTTTAAATCGATAGCCTTTCATAAATTCAGTGGAAGCAATTATATAGCAAGCCTGAATGACCCATAAAAACGGAATTACACACATTTCTTGGGCTTAGCGAGAATTGTGATATCTTCAGCGGACTCGAAACGGGTGTCTTTTCGGCAATTCTTTGTAAGAAATGTTTCATAATGTTTCATTTTTAATGGAAAACGACGCGGTTTATAAATTTGGAATGCTTTATTACTGAAATACTAAATTACTGAAATAGAAAAATCTTCAATCATGTGACCTAGCTTGGGATCTACTAGCAAACAAACTTGTGACGGTTTTAAACGATATAAGTACAATTGTACCAATGCATGGCTTATAATCTACCAGGTCGAACATTCTTTAAATCAATATATAAATATTCTGAAACGTGTTGGATTTAAACTGGAAATCTGGATTTAAATAAAACACTTTAACGGTTTCAAACGCGATATATTAGTTAAAGTGTTTTATTTAAATAGCCTAAAAATGTTAATCTACAATAGCACTGTAACCGAAAATTGTTAACATAATTCTTATGCACATAATTCTATTACACAAATATATTACAAATTCATTTTCGCCTAAGTTAATTGCGCATATATTTTCCTCCTTATTGAAAATCATGTTTTTTATTGTTAGGCCACTCTGCCTCTAGCAGCCTCATGTTATCTCGACTACAATATTATGTAGAGGTATGTTAACATATTATGTTGTATCACGGCTCAAACTCTCGGCCTTAAAGATTAACAATATCTAAGTATGCACAACAAAATAAGAAAAGTAATATGATCCATTGTCAATTCAAAACATCGACTTTATCTACCTGGTGACAAATGATACTCCATCAAGTTAGGATG